GCTAATATTCATGGCATGAGTTCAATGGTCTACGGATATTGATCATTGACATACGCTGGAGATATTACCGGTATATGAACAGTAAAGTACCCGATATTACTATAATATATTCTGTAAATAGCGGTTTTACCTGTATCTGTATTTAATATTCCTAATCCAATGAGTCTTTATAATACTGTTCAGCTTAAATAAATGTTTACTCATATAGCAGACTATAGTTATTTACTAACTTATTATAGGCTCACTCGAGAATATGATAGTTGCCAATTTTAATAGGATTCACAAATGCTGCAATTATGTAATGATTGCAATTGTTTGTACTCTAAATATGTGTCAACTCATGTTTAATCATTGAAATAGCAGTTCAACGACTGTTTGACAGAAGTGAACAAATGGTGTGACAATTATTGCTAAACTCATGGGTCGCCTATCAAAATGAGATAATTGGTTTGGGTTTTATATATTCCCAGTTTCATAGTTATAGCAAACCTATAGGCTTAACGTGAGTTATTAATAAATTCAATCTCTTATACTTTTAAATGAATGCTTATTGTCTGCGCCGATAGACTTGATTTGTCATTGCTTTACAAATATAAAGACCAACTCATGGGTAAGTATTGCGATCTCATTGAGAGCTCATGCAATGAACGCCTAAATCAATTCACTCATCCATTTCTGACTCTTTATACTATATTAAGAATGTTTACGAAGGGTTATCACCGACTGCAGACTTTCATTCGGAAACTAACGACATATAATCAACAGCACCCCAAACAAAATAAGTAAAGTTACTGTGGATTTAATATATATGCTTCCGAGTGGTCATTGTTTGATACCAAAGCGAGACGAAAGCACTGAGAGGCCAGTTGTTTATCGCCGGAACCAATAGCTAGATGTCCGATATTATACCAGATGTCTGCGGTCACATCATCGGAGTCAGCAAACATGAGCGCCCTTTCGAAACAAGTGATGGCCATATCAAACTGCTGGGAGAGGTAGCAGGAAAGGCCTAAATTGTTATAGATCTGGGAATTACAGGTTCCCATCTGAAGGATGCGCCGGTAATAGCGCAATGCTATCTCCGGCTGATCGTTATAGAAGTGGTTCATAGCTATGGACGCAATGGCCTCTATGTTAATGGCATCGTATGTGAGCACATCTTTGTATAGTTTGGTACACTCCTCCATTTCATTCATAGTCTCGTGAATTCTGGCCGCGTATGTGATCAGAAATGTTTCGCCCGGGTATTTATTGAGGCCATCGCTGTATACGTCCAGCGCTGCCAACGGCTGATCCAGCCTTTCGTAGACTTTACCCAACCATAAGTAGACCTCAACGGGTACTTCAATGTGTTTGAGAGCCGACCGAAATTGTTTCTCCGCGTCTCTAATCATTCCTAACTTATAATAGCATTTCCCTAATTGTACCTAAAATTAACAAACAATTCATGTAATACTGAACAGTAGTAACAAATGTTTCAGTGTAAGCAGGCATACCTTCCACCACCAGTCTTTAAATTGATTTATTTCGGTAGCCTTTGCGGCTAATTCGAGCGCAACTCTGATATTATTTTCCTGGAAGTAAATGTATTCAAACAGAGGTTTGGCGAGAGTAGGAATGGCCGCATATTTCCCTATATTAAGTCGACCCAAATTAATAAAAGGCCCGTCGGGTTGGGTTAGCATTGATGTCGTTCCCATTCTAACGAATCTACCCGACGATGAAGTCATTGGTCGAGCAGTTTTCGCCGTTCGCGGAGTTTTCAATGCATTTTCCATAGTTCCCAGTCTTCCCTGAGTTCCCGGTCTTAATACTCCTGTCAGCGGACGACCAGATTGTGTGACGGGTCGCACAGATTGACTCGTTTGCATAGGTCTGGCTGTTGGCATAGCTTTAAGTGAAGTGCCCGGACGGGCCACCTGTGCGATGGAGTTGTCGTCCATCAGACTTTCGGCAATGCCTTCCTCATCGGCCTCGAGATCGTCCACATATACCTGTTCCGTAAGACATCTCATTTTCATACACCAAAACGCCTGCATATTTCAAATGTCAAATATTTTGAAATTACTTTTCAAAATAGAAATTCTTAAATATTTCAGTCAAATCATTCAATGGTTAATATTGAACAAATAGGGCTTTTGTTTCATTAATCAAATGAATATTATTTATTTAATTGTTTCTTACAATTGATGGTATTGTGAGTTTGAATGCATTAATTTCTATCATTTGATTCGTGTATCGCTTGTATGTAACGATAAATGAATGGCTTGTATTTGAATAGACATGCATTCACTCATTGTATGATATGATTGTATAATTAATAATAAATAAAGCAAATATAGAATCTGTAGTGTTTTGAGGAATATTCTGTGTATTTTCTATTATTAGCCACTATTCGTATGCAATTTGAAAGGCGACTAAAAAGTATTTATTAAGCTTTCCTTTAGTGTTGGAATCAATTTGTTTGATGCACTTGTGCTCCAAATTTCAATTTCAGATGAGATTTTCCTCAAATAATGTAATACAAGATATACTACTTATAAATAAAAAGAAATGCTATTGAATCGACAAATTTATATGAGCTCTGAGAGTATGGACTAAAATAAAAGGCAACGAATCCTGAGATTTGCAATATATTCAGAATATCTAATAAATTTTCTGTTCTGTTATGTCTCTCCCTTTTCATAAGAGTTTTGTGGCACGACTTAAACTATATTATCAAATGCAGCGAAAATTTCAATTTCGTAAAGAGAAGTGAAACACAAAAAGCTGTAATTCATTGCATTTACTACTATTTGGTATATACTGTTATATTCTGTGTATTCTGTGATACAGAATCTCTACATTCTGTATATACCTGTGAAGTAAAGCAACGCTTTCCTATCTCTCCTCTAAAATGCTTTGCTATGGCTTTGACTTAAATGTGAAAAATCAATAAAGAATATCATTTCGTAAAACACATTGTATACGAATTGTACAAAAATAAATTGCAGACAAATTATTTATATTACTTTGTATTAAACATAACGAAAGAAATGTATTAAAAAACTAATTCAAGTCATTCACATCTGACAAAAGACTTTCATTTCTATGCTTTTATATAATAATTAATAAATTAAAAGACTTAGGTTTTTTTATTTGCTTTAGTTTCTGAAATATAAATAAAATAAATTAAATGTTAACAAAAGAATTTGTATTAAAAGAAATAAAAGCCTAGAATTTTACAATTTCTCGTTATTTTTCTAATTAAAACAAAATGTAATAATAACTATGGTTTTTCTCAAACACTCAACATTTAAGTTAGAAAAATGATTATTTCGAGCAAATATCACACGAAATAATACTTTATTTTTAGAGACAATTGATGTGTTTTAATTAATTTTCGTTAATACCATTTGAGCACCGGTACGTTCGGTATTAGGCCTAATAAGCAGTTTTTACTTTACGCAAAGACTGACAGCTCTTAATTACTGTTTCAATGTTTTCACTGATTCGCAGCGAGTGTTTAAAATATTCAAATCTGTAGACATTTACTCAAAACCTTTAGAGATTTTCTATACTTTCAAACTGTTTTTATATTCACGTTAAATATTACGAACACATAGTTTGCATTGAGTGAGACTATGATAAAATAAAAACCTAAATTTCATTCTTTGCTCAAACTTTTTTTGATTAAATTCTTCGAAAACAAACGAAAAATGTTTTCAAAGAAAATTAAAAAGTGTTTTGTGTTTAAGTGAAACATTGTCTTTAATTTAAATGCAATTATTGTTCAAATTCTCAGATGACTTCTAATGCGGTTCTAATTTAAATTGTTTTCCATTAGTGTTTCGCTTCTGAGAAAATGTAGGAAAATATTATTTTTAGTCAAATTACAGTTTTCTTGAGATTTAAACCTAAGCTTTAATTATTTGAAGGAAATTGAATATTCAGTTCTCAGCAAAAAAAAACTTCATTTCCTTAATAACTCAACCAAAACAGCATAACATCTAAAAGTATTAAGTCTACGATAATATCTAAAAGATATTAAACAAAAAACAATATTTCCAAAAATTAGTTAGTTTTATTGTCTGACAGCTCTTAATTACTGTTTCAATGTTTTCACTGATTCGCAGCGAGTGTTTAAAATATTCAAATCTGTAGACATTTACTCAAAACCTTTAGAGATTTTCTATACTTTCAAACTGTTTTTATATTTACGTTAAATATTACGAACACATAGTTTGCATTGAGTGAGACTATGATAAAATAAAAACCTAAATTTGATTCTTTGCTCAAACTTTTTGTGATTAAATTCTTCGAAAACAAAAGAAAAATGTTTTCAAAGAAAATTAAAAAGTGTTTTGTGTTTAAGTAAAACATTGTCTTTAATTTAAATGCAATTATTGTTCAAATTCTCAGATGACTTCTAATGCGGTTCTAATTTAAATTGTTTTCCATTAGTGTTTCGCTTTTGCGAAAATGTAGGAAAATATTATTTTTAGTGAAATTACAGTTTTCTTGAGATTTAAACCTAAGCTTTAATTATTTGAAGGAAATTGAATATTCAGTTCTCAGCTTTTTTTTGAAGTAAAGGAATTATTGAGTTGGTTTTGTCGTATTGTAGATTTTCATAATTCAGATGCTATTATAGATTTTCTATAATTTGTTTTTTGTTATAAAGGTTTTTAATCAATCAAAATAACTAATTAAATAAATTAATATAAATAACAAAACTTTGTTTTTCACTTATTTATTAAACCTCTTGAAATTAAATTAAAAGCTAATATTTATTTAACAATTGTTTCATTTTTAATTAGTTTTTCAAAAAATATTATTAAACCCAGAACAACGAGAAAACATAATTTAAAAATAATTTAAAATTCAATAACACTGTGAGATTCTGCACAGCATTTATAATCCCCGTAGAATAGGATATACAGTATTCAGAGATTAATGGACGTGTAGTTTATTTGAAGTATTATAACAATTGAAATGTCAGACTTGAGTAGGAGGGAGGGAGAGAGAGAGAGAGAGAGAGAGAGATACCATACCTGATCGTATGGATTAGCATCGAGTGCTTCATTGCATACTTCAATGCATTTTTCAAACTTTCTTCGTCTGAACAGATTTATAGCAAAAAATAGCGGATCCAATCGCTCCATACTTTTATATGATATGATCCTTAATTCTAATAAATATATGCCTCCAATATAGAGACCCTTTTCCACTGTTTGTTATGTTTCTATTCGGTTGGTCTCTCTATGGCAACAAATCGATCACAAATATTACATCTATTTCTTCGTACGCGCTGTAAAACCGAGTATTTTAAGCAATGCTAAAAGATAACAGCTCATTTTTTCATTTCATACTTTTTATTGAATTAAAAGTTATATATTTGTTAACATTTAATTAAAATAACATTTTATTATAGCATTCAGTGTTGTTGGTGAAAAATCGCATCAAAACTTGTTGTTAGCATTCGGTGTCATTATTATAGACTATAATAGTTTAGATAAAACTGCACATTAATTATATAAAGAGTTTGTAGTGCATAATTAGGTGCATAACATTTGCAACACTATGTAAAAAGACAACTCATTTTTCAGTTTTATATTTTATTTAAACAAAAATATTCAGTCAATGTTCAGTTATAGTAATAATATAATAATAATAATAATTAATAATAATAATATTGCCGTCGAATTAGAGAATGAAATTCGTACTAAACTTGTGTTTTACAACAGTAGTGATTGTCAACTAATGATACTGTTTTTGACTAAGAATTCAAATGAAACTCTCGTAAGAATATCATATGAAATAAAAAAGATTACAATTAATTTGATTGAAGCAAATAAAACCGAATTACGGAATGAGTGTTATATAAGAGGCATATCGTGTGAAATCGGAGGCAAAGGCACGAGAGATGTGTTGTTTTCAATTGATTTTCATTTATAATTATTTCTTATGTAAAATTTAACCTTAAAAAACAAAAATAAAGGATTTATGAAATGAAATGAATATATATTTATAGATACAATAATAATAATAGAAAAATGAATGATAAATAACTCATCAGTGTCTAATACAATGACTTGTCGTAAGGAATGTATACATCGTTTCAGTGAAACTACATTTTGAACGGGTGTTAAAAAATTAAATAACAATAACCAATCAATTAATTAATAATGTAAATAAAGATCGATAACTGTACGTAAATAAAATCATGTCGAAATTATATGTATATAACTTTAACGCCCATTCAATAACAATTCAACTCTTATGATAATCTAAGAGTCAAATCAAGTGATAATATAATTGGAAGTATTGGCTGCTCTTCATTCTGCCCGGAGTTTAAGCATTTGCTTATTACGAGTCAAACCTTCATTTATGTGAAGATTTATTATTCATTTAAAATATGTGCAAAAATGATAACAATTTTTCTTTTCTTTGTATATAATTTAGTGATTTTTTTTCGTAAAACATTTCAAATTCATTAAAGTTTTGTTTTGAAAATTCATTTCATAAGAGAGTGTAGTCTATAATCTAATATAAAAAAGTATTGAGATTTTAAGACAACAAATTGCACATCAATTGAATTGAATTTAAATTCAAAAACCTTTTTTCATAAAATGTCAACTTTTTTGATATGAGTTTTCAACGATGGAAACAATTGATCATAAAAACAAATTATCGTTAAATATATGAGTTTAACAAAGGGGTATAAAATTGATGAGTGATTGAAATATATATTTTTGGTATTCAATGGCTGATGACTTAGTAATGAGCGAAACAAATGTCTTTGAGGCACGAGTCGAGAGTCGAGTAAAACATGTCTAATATAAGTCCATTNGACGATGGACTTATCGAAGTGATCGGTTTGACAACATATCAGTTGGTGAGCACTTATACCCATATTTAGCTTTACTTCATATATCCATATATCAACTCATTTCATGTAAAAGTGTTGAGTCTTGCGATTGCATTAAAGGATCGCATTATAAGAATCGATCAGAATTTGGTCGAGCATCAAATGATCGACTCGTATATTAATATATAAAATAACTTATATTTGTGTTGCACTCGTGTGTCATATGATAGCCACTACTGCAAGCGGGAGGACACGGAACATGTATAGCCCAGTGTAGAAGTGCTAAGATAATCACCACCCGCACCATACCTATGCAAGTGGATGGCGAGCCCTGTCGTCTCTTGCCATCTATCATAACATTACAACTCAGAAATCAGGCAAACCTTATCGCCAAAGCCAAGAGTCATAACCAAATAATTCACGTGTAAGTGATGCCAACTGTTCCTATATTCAGTCGATTAGTACCCGTTTTGTATTCATATAGCCATTCATTCTTTATTTTTATTTCACGCTTAGACCTACACTCGAAAAGTTGACAATAAAAGTGCGAAAATTGAATTTAAATGATTACGAGACCTATCATTACGATAAGCATAAGCTTAAGGAAGTCTGTGAGTTAACTCTCGAACATTTATTTTCTTACAAACTATCGATACAATTGACTTTATTATGTACAGTACTGTACAATACAGTAAATAATGTTTGAATATTGAATTAAGTATTATTTGTTTCATATATGCTTACGAATGCCTGTATGTCTCCCATATGCAGCACTATTAGTGGGAATGCTATGTATCGATCAGAACCTGGAGTTAGTTCACGTCAGAACCAAAATCAATGAATTAATGCGGGATAAGAGTTATAATAGCGTTCAATCCGGTGCTGATAATACTTGTGTCACCACAAAGTTCGTATCACATGACTGGTGTTTCGTCGACTGTAAGTATCGCCTGTCTTCATATATCTGCAGTGATTATCACTGAATCTGATATCATGTCTCTCATGTCTCTCATGTCTCACCCAATCACTGATAGCCTGTACAGCCGAACGATTTTTTCGTATCGACAGAGCGCAGGAAGACCTCCACTTCGTTGTCGACATCTGCACCGATGATCTCTATATTCTCGATCCGGAGAGTCCTAATTCCGATGATAAGGACGAGATTGATATCTTTGACACCACCTCTGAGTCGGATTTTATCACTTTTAATAATAATAGTCTTAGGAATGCATCCCATCAGTCATCTAGTGATGAAAGTCCCACCACTTCTATAGGCCGAACCCACTCTAATCCAATCAATGTTCCACAAGACTTCTCTCAGGAGGAGGTCCTCTATGCCGCCAAACAAGCAGACCTCTCATTACTTAAACAATTGCATCACAAAGGGATCAGTTTATTAGCCGTCGATAAGAAAGGTATTAACACTTGCTTTTCGTTTTTCAATACTCTTTAACTGAGAAAACCTATAAATAGACTTTTAATTGAATAGTTAAACAAATGTGCGAATTTATACTCTATTTAAATTTACAGTAATTGCATTTTTATCTTTATATTTCTTAAATATTACAACATATTTTAAACTTAAAAATTAGTCAAATTTTTCAAATATTAAGACTTGTTTTGAATTAAATTTCTAATTTTAGTAGACTATTTCTATCAACATAAGTGCAGTCATTTATCATATTTTTGAATAATCCATTTTTATAATATTCTAGAGGTGTTCTTGCGCTATTGATTTTCTGTAAATCTCTCTCTCTCTCTCTCTCTCTCTCTGCATGAAATTAAAGGAATTAAAGCTAGAGTATTGTCTTATTGTTTGTGTCATTCACTGTCTTAAATGCTTGAATGTTTGTACAACTGCTTGACTCACTGAATATTCGTGTTATTTTGTGTGCCTGTCAGGCCTGTCAGCCCTACATCACGCCTCTCGTCTCGGTTACGAAAACATAGTCAGTTTCCTTCTGTCGGCCGCGCCGTCTGAACTGATTGACTTGATTGAGACAGAGAGCGGTCATTCGGCTCTTCATATGGCCGCTCAGCACCGACAGCACAACATCTGCACAATGTTGGCCTCATACGGGGCCTCCCTTTCCAGAGGTGACAGACAGGGATTAACTGCAAAGCAATTAGCGATATAGCATAGCATAGCATACTGTATGATAGCATAGGCAGACATGGGGTGCAGCATAGGCGCAGCCTTGACGGCGAGGGGAGTCCCAGTGCCGGTGCCTATCGAGACAACTGTCCCTTTAAGCACTTATTTGACAACTGATTCAATTGATTGTTAAATAACTTGTTTACTATTAGTCAACACAAATAACGCAATGAAATAATGGCCTGAAATGCCGTACGATATGATTTTCATGACGGATTGGCAATACTGTATGAATTGCAGTGAGTTTTATGAATGAACGGCACATATGATGGCAAAAGTTGTGCTCAAAAACGCCTTTCACTTACTTATGACAAGTGTTTACAACAAACACAACAATACGACAAATACTCACAAAACTTATGCATCAAAAGTTATGGCCATTTCTGTGCCCACATAACATGAAATGTAATTTTTAATTCAAAACAAGTTCACTGTTACTTTCCCTTTCAATATAACACTTGTTTTGTATAAACTATTAATTAATGATTGTTTGCGACGATGACTATCGTATGGCAAGTGATAATCGCTTTGTATTATTGAGTCACAAGTATGTTATGAATCGTGTATTTGTTAATAGTGTTCACTGCTATGGTTTAGCCGTCCATTCGTATCAATGTTTACGTTACGATCGCTTAGTCGTCGATATTATACTGATATTTGGTTTCAATTTATTTATAGTCATGTTATTAACCAAAGTGTTTCATATAGTTATGATTAAAGCCGAGTATATATACGGTGGTCATGTGGTGACCACTAATTGTTAGCGAAAATGTCATACAGTTATGTGTTTTAAAGACCAGATCTATTTGATCATAGATTTGAAAAATTTCTATTTTAAGAAACAGAGAAAAAAGTGATTCATTATTACCATTCATTTGATTATTGCTGTGAATGTGTGGTTTGGGTGCATATGTGAACTAATTGTATTGGTTTTGATTGATTACAGGAAAGCAATTCAGGGAGAAATCAAGATCTCGACCGAAAGTGGAGAGACCCGGACACTGAGGTCAGCGCCAGACTGGGGGGTAAGCGATCGCCACACCATCACCGCACGGATCAGCTATAACTCTCTGTATTCTGTGTCTGTGTATAGGAATCGGCCATCAATGCCGACCACTTATGGGTGTCGACCAACGCGTCCGGAGATCTGTGTTATGTCGGCGAAAACGACTGTTCCGTACGTTTTCATTGCTATACTTCTTATTAACTATTGATTTGTCATTTAATTTACATAAATATATAACTTTTTATTTGAATTTTCTTTTATTTTTTTGTGGCTCTTTTTATTGATATACAACTCAAACGACTATCAAATATAATGTGCGGTATTTCCAGTGTTTCAAATCAAACATAGTTTCACTTATTTTTTTCATACTCTACTATTTTTATTGATTTTTGTGCTCAAATATAGTACAGTATACCGTAATATATATTATTTTTTGTTTCCAAATGTTTTCACTCTTTCAACGAAACCGCGATTGCATTATATATGATATGATTTGCAAATTGCTTTTAATGGCAAACAATTAAATAAACATTTTATATAACAGTATATAATATATATATTTTTGGTGAGATTTTCTCAATTGTTATGCTAAGCAAATAATGACTTTTAAATTTGAAATTCTGGGGCTTAGAGAATCGCAAACTCTATTACACACAGAATAATAATAATTTATTTTTAGACACAGTTTTCAATCATTTTCAAAACATGAATACATTTTTCATTTTTATTAGACATCTCTCAAGAGTTTTACTATTTGTTTACATTGACAATGATTTTAGCAGCAGTTGTACTAATAATGATATAATATATGAAATGTTGATGTGTTTGCAGAAACAAGGACCCAGATTATGCTGTCCTGCCTGCAAGATAACGGCCCACACCGGATGTATAAGCATTTTGATCGATAAAATCCGATTCCATTGTAAGCCTACCTTCAAAGACGTCGGCGTCCGTCAGTATAGAGAAGTAAGTGTTTCTCTAATGCTTTCATATATACATGTAGTCTCTTATCTGAAGAGTTGGTCTCTCCGATGGTATTATTAATAACCAAAAAAAAGTTGTTTTCAGCTATCATTTGATTTGAATGTTAAGCAAAAGCGCGAGAACTATCATATATTTTGTCGATAATAGCGAAAGCATAGCGTTTAATATGAATACATGTTTTACAAAATGATTGTTTCGATCGATTCCAGCAAACTGTTATCCATCACCATTGGGTGCATAGGAGGCACCAGAAGGGAAGGTGCAAACAGTGCGGCAAATCTTTTCAATCGAAACTCTCGTTCGGCAACAAAGTAATCATTGTTTGCATTAACATTGCATTCAATTTGCAAATTCTAACCCAAACCCATCTCTACTCTATATGCACACCAATGTAGGAGATAGTGGCCATATCGTGCTCCTGGTGTAAGACTGCTTTCCATAATAAGGAGAACTGTTTCAACATTCAAAGGATCGGCGAGAACTGTCCCCTCGGACACCACCAGGACATCATTGTGCCGCCCTCTTGGATCGTCAAACTTCCGCGACGGGTATTCACGCCATTCCTTATCACTTGTTCTCGGCTTTCCATTTTGCTGTCCTCTTATCGAAAATTAATTTCCGCCCAAAAATCATTTCTTAGCTCTACTTACGTTGAAATTGTTTTATGATTTTTGTGCCTTTTTTCAAACCAAACGCCACACTTAGGGCTCATTCAAGTCTTCAATAAGACGTTCCCCGAAGACCAAGAGGGCGTCTTCCAAGAAACGGACCAAAAAGGACGAGTCGACCGCCACTGTAACCGTTGATAATCATCTGCACCATCAGCTGCACGCACTTCACGGCTCATCGCCGCCGCCAACCAAAGAGTTTGGATCACAGCACCGGAGTTTCGCAATCAAACCGATTCCTTCGTCGAGCTCTAAGCCATTACTAGTGTTTATTAATCCAAAGAGCGGTGGAAATCAGGGCTCAAAACTGATGCAAAAGTTTCAATGGCTCCTAAACCCGCGCCAAGTGTTTGATCTCTCCCAGGGTGGGCCTAAACTGGGATTAGAGTTGTATAAGAAAGTGAATAATCTGCGAATACTCGCGTGCGGTGGCGATGGCACTGCCGGTTGGGTGTTATCAGTGTTGGACGAAATAGCTATATATCCTCCGCCGCCACTCTCAGTACTACCCTTAGGCACCGGCAATGACTTGGCGCGAGCGCTTGGTTGGGGCGGAAGCTATACTGACGAACCGGTGTCTAAAATCTTGCTCAACATAAAGGACGGGGAAGTCGTACAACTCGACCGCTGGAACCTGAGGGTTGAGCGCAATAACAACATATCGCCGACTGAACAAAACGCTATCAAAGAAGACGAAGGGGCCAAACAGGAGCTGCCGCTCAATGTTGTCAACAACTACTTCTCCATAGGAGTGGACGCACACATCGCCCTATCCTTCCACGAGGCCCGAGAGGCACATCCCGAGCGCTTCAACTCTCGGCTCAGGAATAAGATGTTTTACGGACAGGCGGGTGGGAAGGACTTACTGCAACGCAAATGGAAAGACTTGTGTAATTACATCACTCTGGAGTGCGATGAAGTGGACCTAACCTCCCGACTCAAGGAGCATAAAGTGCATTCTGTCCTATTCCTCAATATCCCGAGGTTTGCAATCCTTATTTATAAATCGATTTCTACTTTATTCTCATTTATGTGAGACTTCTTTCAAACAAATCTAACACTTTTTTGTGGATTTGTATTCCTATATAAGGCTAACACAATAGATGTAATACTAAACCCAAAAATCAATACAAATAATGCATTACAACATATGAGACAAATAAATCTTTTTGATATTTATTCTGTTAGTAATTCCATATTTATTAGAGTTTTTCATGTTTGCATTAATCTATCACTTATAGCTACGGGGGTGGGACCCGGCCCTGGGGCTCAACCTCTCCATGCTATGAGACTCCGAGAACAGACGATGGACTTATCGAAGTGATCGGTTTGACAACATATCAGTTGGTGAGCACTTATACCCATATTTAGCTTTACTTCATATATCCATATATCAACTCATTTCATGTAAAAGTGTTGAGTCTTGCGATTGCATTAAAGGATCGCATTATAAGAATCGATCAGAATTTGGTCGAGCATCAAATGATCGACTCGTATATTAATATATAAAATAACTTATATTTGTGTTGCACTCGTGTGTCATATGATAGCCACTACTGCAAGCGGGAGGACACGG